AGTTACGGTTGAATTTATTTCACATGAGACCTGCTTTGTTGTCAGCAATCGCGGCATTGCCTCACCTTGAAATCCTGGCGATTATCTACTCTGATTTCGTGGAGGATAAGTGGGATGCAAGTGAGGACATGTATCAAAGTCTTAAGACTTTGAGTTTGCGAGAGGTCAACCTTTCAGAATGGGAAGTTGATAAGGGAACTTTTCCCAAGCTTGAGGAATTAATAGTAGAATACTGTGAGGAGTTTATGGAGATCCCTTGTGCATTCGCGGATATAGACACTTTAAAGTTCATTCATTTAACAAATATTAACAGTCAGGTTGTAGATTCAGCCATGGAGATTAAGAAAGATGTAATTGATTTCGCAGGAGAGGACAGACTTCATGTCCATATATTCCATTGCTAACAAAGTCAAGAAGAGGTAATTAATTTCTTACATCTTTACCCCTCCATACATATACACTTCATATACTTACATATATAATTTGCAGAATACACAAAGGATAGAACAACAATGAAGAAAGAAAACAACGCAACGCTTCCATCTGATTTCATCTGATTACTGCTTCCAATAAACAAACTTGTTCTGGAGATGTTTTAACTTAATGTTTTGAGTGTTTTCTTTCATGTAAATTGTGTATTGCTTTGCCTCATTAGTAATTTGTTTTATTTGGAGTAGTTAAGCTTTGACTATATATCTATGTATTGTTCAAAGACATGTTATTTGTTAGTTATGAATCTTATTTCGTGTGTTAACTCTCTGATAGTCCCAACATGGATAGTCTTGTCCCTCTGCTGCTGGAGGAGATGGAAAGTTATTTAAGTTTGAAGAATGATAATTATGTAGCAATGACCACAGAGGAGAAAATGTTTGAATACCTCTTCACAAACCTCCATGATCTACCAAACTATTCTTCTGATTTGATTCTCTCGCAGATGACTGACTACAACACTCTTCGCCAAGTATTTCGTCGTCTGACAGATTTCTATCCTATCCTCCTGGCCAACAAAACAACTACCACTCAATATCTCTTTCCTCGCTTCCAATTCATCGCCCATACATTTCTACAATTCCATTTTGCTATTTGGACTGGAAACTATAATCCCTCATCCAAAGTCTCTGAATACTCTTCCAACGTCACTTCTCTACTGATCGACATAATCCCTCTTGAGCTGGAGGTTCTATACATTTCTACTTCTAAGCTCATCAAAGAATCAAAGTCAACTCATCAACTAAAACGGTTAGTGAAGCAAATCCTAAAAGCATCTCCAAAGATTCTTCAAAATTATCTCATTCATCTCCAAGGACGCATGGTAGCTGTCAATTACTCTCAAACTCAAAGTATTAATGCCATGATCGAGTTCCTATTGATCTTTCTCACCGATATACCAAAGCGCTTTATCCATCCTGACAAATTGAACGATATGTTGGCACATGTCGGACTACTTACAAGGAATCTATCTATTCTCATGGAGGAGAGCTCTAATATGAATGAAGCAGACTTTTCAGCTCCAGACTTGTTGCAAGAAATTGAACGAATGAAGGGAGATATCAAACAGAATTTTTTGAAAGCCCCGGATCAGTCATCTCAACTCTGCTTTCCTATGGATGATGGTTTCCTCTTCATGAATCTTCTACTCAGACATTTAAATGATTTGCTCATTTCCAATGCTTATTCAGTTTCTCTCATAAAGAAAGAAATTGGAATAGTGAAACAAAGCCTTGAATACCTAACATCATCTTTCAGGCAAACATTGGATGACACCAGTGGAGTAGTTAAAGATTGTTGGGTGTGTGCTTTAGATGTGGCATATGAGGCAGAACATGTCATTAATTCCATTCTTGTCAGAGATAATGCTCTCTCGCATCTCCTTTTCTCACTTCCGAGTGTCACTGATAAGATCAAGCTTATCGTGGCAGAAGTCACCAGTTTACAGCTGGAGGATAAGAATGGGGATGACCCTATTGATGCAAAGTCTTCCGTCGAGCCAATTGAGTCAACCTCATCATCTTTTGTTGAGGTAACAGTAGGTCATGAAGAAGATGAAGCCAAGATGATTGACCAGCTCCTTGATAAACATGAATCCGAGCTTGATGTCATTTCGATTGTCAGAATGCCAGGACTCGGTAAAACTATTCTGGCCAACAAAGTGTATAACAATACATTAGTTGCTACTCATTTCAATGTTCGTGCTTGGTGCACTGTTTCCCAAAAGTATAACAAGTCAAAGGTGTTGCGGGAGATTCTTCTACAAGTTACTGGCTCGGGAGGAAAAGA